GCATTTAAGATCGTTGCAAATTAGAAGCCTGGGAGAGCCAGGAAGTATCTTGATTGCATGGTATAGAATGGTCAGGCAGAAAGCGATAGGCACTGCAAAGAGCTGTGTGCTCATGGGAGGACTTGCAGGTTAGGAGAGGATCCCTTTCAACATTCCTCTCTAGCTTCCACCCGTGCTGCAGCTTCAATGTGCAGGCTGTGAGGACATTAAGCCAAGGATGCCAGAACAGACCATACGTCAGGGTGAGCACACAGGCCCGTGCCCCCAGAGAAACCAGGCACCCAGGTTCAACACTGCACACAGCTGTCGTTGAGCCCACGCTGAGGAAGGACTGAAGAGAGCTTGGCAAATTCTTGTTTGAAAAGAGATCTCTCACCAAAGGCTTTGGGAACGGTGAAAGGGCTTCATCAAATTGTTTCTGACAAAGACCATGAAAACAAGGGAATTTAATTTGAAAATGAGGAGCATGTGAAAACGCAAAGGCTCAGTCCTGGCCAAATGACTGGAGGGGATTCTTATGTTCATATGGGATGTGTTAGGGTCCAGAGCAAGGCTGAGACGGAGGCAAGAGAGCAGGCCGGCGGCTGCGGTGCATGTGGGAACACGAGGCCTCCTGTGGAAGAAAGCTGTCTGTCTGCAGCGACCGCAATGAGATCAGCTGACATTTGTTGTGTCCTTATGCCGTACCACGCTAAGTTTAAGTGCTTTGAACATATCAACTCGTCTTAAATTCTCCACAAACTATGTGGGAGCTACTTTTTCTTTTTTGTACTGGGGATTTAACCCAGAGCTTTTGTGCTGAGCTACGTCCCCAGCTCGTCCTCTCTCTCTCTCTCTTTTCTTTTTGAGACAGTGTCTTGCTAAGTCACTGAGTTGCCTAGGCTATGCTTCAACTTGCCATCTTCCTGCTTCAGCCTCCCAGAGTGCTGGGATTATAGGCAAGCACCACCATGCCTGGGTGGGAAATATTATTATAATCATCTCATTTGACAGAAGGTAGAGCCAAGGCATAGGGTTTCAGCTTCTTGGGGCCACCCAGCATTTGAACTAAGGCTGTGCAGTGCAGAGCCCAACCCCCACTGCTCCCCCTTGGTGTTACACTTTCCTTGTGGTGCCATCTCTATGCTAGTGAGCCCTAACAGGGAAAGCATAGAAAGCTGGTGACCAGACTATTCCAGATTAGAGGGAAGTCACTAAATGTGCTGATGGGGGAAGGAAACACACAGAAAAATGTATTAGTCAGAATTTTGCTACTATAACAAAATACCCCAGGTAGGCTACTTTATAAAGAAAAGAGGTTTCTTTAGCTGACAAGGTTTTGTTGGCTTGCTTTTGTTTAATTTTGCTTTGTTTGCAAGGCTGAGGCTGTGGGTGAGGCCGAGGCCAGTGCCTTCTATGTGCTAGGCAAGTGCTCTACCATGGAGCTCTACCCCCAGGTCTAGCTCACAGTTTTGGAGGCTGGAAGTCCAAGGTCAGGCAGCTGCATCCATTGGGCCTGCCAGGAGGGGGCCCTTGGCTGTGTCACAGAGTGGCAGATTGTGTCATGGGAGTGCATGTGGGAGCAAGCGGTCCCTTTGTACCAGGGATCGAACTCGGGTCCTTGCACTTGCGAGGCAGGCAGCAGAACCACTGAGCTAAATCCCCTGCCCTCTTTGTTTTCATTTTGAGATTCTATCTTACTAAGTTGCTAAAGGTTGGGCTGGAACTTGCCATCCTCCTGCCTTAGCCTCCCAGAGTGCTGAGATTATTGGCATGCACCACCATGTCTATTAGTTTTCTTGGGAAAATTTTTTTCAAAGGATTCTCCTGCTCCCATACAAAAAATGCTTCCAGTTTTAAGTGCCTGGCATGTCACAGGCACTCAATAAATATTTGTCCAATGCATCATCCATCCTGTGGATGTTGGGGGTGGGACATGAGAAGGTGGGCAGGGGAAGGAGCCAAGGGCAGGCTTGATGGTGTCCTCACGGCCTGCTCCATGCCTCCAGGCCTGTGCTTCAGGAAAAGTCCCTGCAGATCCTAGAGGCCCTGCACTGAGCACACCCCTAGGGGATTTCATCCTTTGGTCACCTCCAGCAGGCCTGCAACCTCCAAGGCTTGGTGCATGGCACCTCCAGAAGTGAGGAGCACATCTAGTGATGGAGCTCCTGGGCCCTGCAGGCTCCCATCTGTTAAGTGGAGATAGCGATGCTACCCATCTCACGAGGCTGTCAGCAGGAATAAGGCAGGAAATGACTGGAGGTGCCCAGTAGCAGGCACTGTGTGTCACCCATCCCACGGACTCCATCTCTGAGCAGGGACCCAGGAGCCAGCTCTGGTCCCTCCCTACCTTGTGGTCCTTCTAACCCAGCACTGCCCTGAAGAATTTTAACATCTGCTTTAAATGTGATCTTGAAGTTCTTAACAGCCACACTGAAAGCATTTAAAAGAAGTAAAATTAATTTAAATTGTATTTAGCCCCATATATCAAAACCATGACACTTTCAACATGGAATCAATATAAAAAACATCACTGAGATATTTTACATTAAGAAACAATTTGTTTTGACAAACTCTCCAAAATCTGGCACTAGTGTTATACTTACAACTGAGGACCAGCTACGTGGCGGGAACTCAATGACCATGAGAGGCTGGAGGCCACTGTATCAGACCAGCAGCTCAAGCTGGTCACCAGGTCCCTTGAGTGCTCTCTAACCTGCTCCCTCCCTGCCATCTCCCTGATCTTTCAGATTTGCGCTAAGAACTTCCAGCCAGGATCTGTGCCAGTGCCTCGCAATGGGTTTCCAGCCCTTAGCTGCTCTGCTCCAACTGGCTTTACATTTTGCAGCCAGAGAAAAGTTCTTAAAAGACAGAACTGGTCACTTGTCACCCTTGTTCCAAATCCCCCGGGGCTGCGACTTTGGCCTCCTAAGCCTCTGTTGATGCATCCAGGCCCGGTCAGGGTGGCCTCATTTCTTGCTCTCACCTCATGTCCTCTTCGCTCAGCCACCTCCTGGACCATTCCGCACTTCTGCACACGCCCCTCACCTTCTCTCTGGGGAAAACCTGCTCATTCCGAGGACTGAGCCCATCTGGAGCTCTTCTGGGACCTTAACCCGCACAGGTCTGTCGAGCTGTCCTCCCCTCTCCCAGACCTATGCACATGTCTGACTCTGCAGGTGTCACACGCTTTGCACCTGTGTGTTCATTTCTCTGCACATCCACTCCTTAGCATGGGAACTGTGCCTTTCCTCTCTTGAGTGCTGAGCCAGGACAATCTCATCTTAGTGGAGGAGACTTCTGAACCTGTGAAAATGGTTTGCCCTGGGATTTGTGTGTACAAAAGAACGAAGGGAGAGATGATTCTGGAAAAGTAATTTGGGCCTAGGCTCTGAACAGCTTTGAATGCCAGGCCAAGGAGAGTTCAGATTTTATTCTGTTGGCAATGAGGAGCCATTGCAGGTTTTGAGGGAAGGGAGCTAGGGTAAGAGATGAGGTCAGCAGAGGCTTTGGGCTTTCGGGTTCAAGGTCAGGTCAAATCCTCATTTGCTTCTTCTGAAAAATCCTGGCAAATGACATGTTGTGCTTTCTAGAACCTTCTTTTCTGAAGGCCACTTAGAAAGGTTGGGGAAAGGAAGGAATGGATACCTGTTGAGCTTCTATATGGCCTATATATTCCAAATAGTGTATGTATGAATATACAAGCTGTGAATGAAACAAGGTGAATGTTTAAAGTTTAAAAAATATTACTGTAAAAGACACAGCAACATAAATTCCCCTGTCCAATACTGCCCCTTGTTTCAAACACACTTATCCCATCATTCCTGCCACTTTCTGAAGCAGTTCTGCAAGTACCCTTTCCCAGGTGTCTTTAGTTGTACTGTCATGGCTGCCTCAATGTTCTGAATCCATTCCAAATATTTCCTTTTCACGGTCATTTTGACTTTGGGGAAGAGCAAAAGTTGCAGGGTGGGTTCCAGATCTGGTGAATAAGGTGGATGAGGACCCACTATCATTTTTTGTTTTTTGTTTGCTTTTTACAAGCCTACCTTTCTGTTGGATGACACTGAGGAGCAGCACTCACTGTATTTTGGATCACACCTCACAAAGACACTCATGAAAGGGGACTTCCAGAACTGCTTCAGAAAGTGCTAAGACTGATGGGATGAATGTATTTGAAGTGAGGAGGGATTTATGACCATGTGTCTTTTATTGTAATAAGTTATTTTTATTTAAGCACACAATGTATTTTTTGATCAGCTCTTATCCCAGGGCCCCCAAGGCAGATATGTTCTTTCCACGTTAGAGAGGAGACTGAAGTTTAGAGAGATTAAGGAGGTTGCTCGGCAGTAAGAACCTGGACTGGAGTCGTGTGGGGCTTCCTGGATGGTGGTCAGGGAGCAGTGGGGAGCCAGGAGAGCATTGGGCAGGCCAGGGTTGGAGCTGCCTGGAGCTGCACACCTGTCCTAGGTAGGAAGGAGCCTCTGGGTAGCATCAGGAAGTGCACACTGTGCCTTATACGGGGCTGCCTCCTTCCTGATGTCACTCTGGGTGGCTCTGTGAGGCCGCAGGTAAGACGCCACGGAAAGCAACTCAGTGCTATCAAACTGCTGCGTGGGGCTGGGGACAAGATGACCCTTACTTGGTCCGTCTACTCCCCATAAGATTTTGATTAACTTGACAGGGTCTTCTGGTCACAACCAAAGCCTTAGCTTTAATAATGGCTTAATTTAAAAATCCCTGGAATAATTTTTGGCTCCCTTTAGCATGAAAAGATTTTCCCCTCAAAGCCTTTAATTCTGTAGTCATCTATTTTTCCAATTGAAGGTAATTCCTTGGAACTTGGTTGGTCTTTTTTTTTTTCTTTCTTTCTTTTTTTTTTTTTTTTTTTTTTTTTTTTTTTTTTTTTTTTTTTTTTTTTTTTTTTTTTGTACTGGGGATTGACCCCAAAGCCTTCACACTGAGCTACAACCTCTGCCCTTTTTAGTTTTTATTTTGGGACAGGGTCTCACTGAGTTGCTAAATTGTCCAGGCTGGGGTTGAACTTTGCCATCCTCCTGCCTCAGCCTTGCCTGTGCCACAAGGCCGGGTCACTTGCTTCGTGCTAATAACTGACTTTGTAGTCAGCATTCTACTCTGCTTTATCCCTCTCTTTCTTCCTGGCTTCTCCACCATGGGCTGATCTAGAATGCTGTTCAACTTCACTCAGACACCTCATAATAGTAAATGGCAGTGAGGTTTTAGGAAGGGGACAGCATCTCCATTCTCTTTCTCCTGGGTCTTAGTAGCAGGGCAAAGTTACCTTGGGAAATGTGGCTGGATTCCTGTCTGGCATCCAGCAATGCCTGTGAGGAGCAGCACTGGGGCAGGGTGCTGTAGATCATGTACATCAAAGACCTCCGGTGCTGAGTACCTATGGGAGGGGAGGGTGCGGAGGGTAGCCTTTTATTTTTTTTAGCATTGGGGATCACATGCAGGGCCTCTGCACTGTGGCAATGCTCCCTGATCACAGAGGTCCAGTGCTTCCTCTCTGTCCTTGATATCAGATTTGCTTCCTGATGTGTAATCCCCGCTGCTCCACTTTGCAACTTCTGCCTGATCTGGAGAAGACCCAGGCTCCCTTTTGCCACCACTGCCTAAGCCTGGTCTCCAAAGCCACACAGGTGACTCCTCCTCATGGGTTTTCTTGTGAGCCCTGGCTAAGAATCGAGGCTGGGAGTAAGGACTGGATCCTGGAGTTGGGAGGTAGAAGAGAGAAAGGTGTCAGGGACAGACCGCTCCATATCGCAACTTGGCGCTCATCTGGCAGCTGCTTGGGAGGGGGCTCTCTCTGGCCCTTGTGGAAGTCTGGGCCTGCCCACAAGTGTGTGTGCATGGTGTGTCACAGGTGTGCAGGCTGGGCCCCTGAGCACAGCTCACAATCCCTCCCTTGTGTCCTGGTTCCGCTGGTCCTCTAGGGTGGTTCCTCCTTACCTTGCAGCCTTATCTGGCATCTCCTCCTTCAGGTCCTCTTCAACACCACTGTGGGTCACCATCCCTCTCATTCCCCTGAATTGCCAACTTGACTCAGATGACATCAGTGGCAGTGTCTCTATCTGCACCCTGCCGAAGGATCCTGATAGTCTTGAAGCCATGTCTTACCTGACTGGGTGCCACCGAGGCCTTGCCTGTGCAGTTCAGTCTGCCACCGAGTAGGGATGGGTCGGTGAGGATAGAGGAGATTTGCTTATTCAGTGGAAAGAGATGTCACCAGGTCCTGCAACAGTGCAGATGGACAGGCATTGTCTTAATCAGTTTTCAGTTGCTGTAACAAAATATCAGCGATGGCATAACTTATATAGAACAGAAGTTTAAAGTCAAATGTGCCAGCTCAGTGTCTCTTCTGCTTCCTGTAAAGTCACTAGTGCCATCATGGGACACCCACCCTCTTGACCTCCTTGAATCCTAGGTACCCGCTGCAGCCCCACCTCTGAATACCATTAACATGGATTTAGGGGTTACGTTTCCAACATGTGAACTTTAGGCAGATATATTCAAACTATAGCAAACATCAGCAGAAGCCCCTTTACACAAAAGTCACTAAAACCATGCCTATGTCCTTAGTGAATTAGGGAATATTAGGCAATGCCACAATAACAACTTCACCCTGACATCTCAGTGGCCAGACAGACTCAGGAAACAGGGCCAGGGCCAGTTAGGGGGTGGGAGGGCAGGGGAAGGGCTTCTGACAAAGTCACTCAGAGATTCAGGCTGGCAAAGGCCCAGCCCAGGGAATATGTGCTGTGACAGGGACAGGAGGACTTGGAGGACCCATACCTCATACCTCTCTTAGGTCCCAAAGTGGCACAGGTCTCTTCTACTTCTTGCCCTTTGGTCAGATCTGGTCTCATGGCCCTGTCTAGCTGCAAGAGAGGCTGTCAAGCATGAGGACAAGTGAGATAAACACTGGTGAGCACCAGGAACATCTACCACATGTATTAATGACACACAGGGGAAAGTCTATGGTTGATTAGACCTCTTTATTGCTTAATGGTCTAGAATCACAATTTTAAAACCATACATCCTCTTAAATTTCAACATTCCTGCCAGATGTCACCCCGCTCTCTACTTGGATACCTCTAATGATGGAGGACTCACCCCCTCCAATGCAGCTGCATCCAACTGTGACAATCCTATTACAGAAATTTTCCTTATACTCAGCAGGCTCCAAGTTCTTCCTTGGAACTCTAAAATGACTTTAATACATTTCTTGCATGGCTTTGAAGAGCTGAACTACTTCTCCCTGGTCTTTTTTACTCTAAGTCTGACACCCCTGTGTGACTCAGCCTCTCCCTCTCCCCTGCCCCTGGGCTTCTCTTCTGTGCCCCACACTGGTTTCTTTCTCTATCATCTTTCATGTTGGGAACCCCAAAGGCTGAACACAGAACTGGGCATGGAGAGGATGTGCAGGTAGGGGAAGCCCTAGACAGGTGCCCATCACAGATCCTCCTTAGCTCAGGACACTATTTGGGGGACATCTTGATGTGGACTCATCACATCTGTATCCCCTTGTCTTTATGATTGTGCCCAGGGATAGCTTATAAGATTGTTTCTAGGGCTTCTGTTCCTATAATCAAAATACCTGACATAAACAGCTTAAAGGAAAAGTTTAATTTGGCTCATGGTTTCAGAGGCTTCAGTCCATGGTTGGCTGGCTCCAAGGTAGAAACACCATGGTGAAGGGCATGGCAGAGGGAAGCTGCTCACCTCCTGGCAGCTGGGACACAGACAGGCTTGGAAATAGCCAGAGAGGAAGGAACCAAGGACCAGATATAGTCCCCAAGGTCATATTCTTGTGACCTACTTCCTCCAACTAGGCCCCACCCCCTACAGTTTCCATCACTTTCTAATAATGCCATCGAATTATAATGCCATCAGTGGAGTAATCCACTTGATGAGGTTAAACCCCTCATTATCCAATCACTTTCCTGAAAGCTCCATCTCTCAACACATGGGACTTTTAGGGGATATTTTAGATTTAAGCCATAACAAGGTTAATGCTCCCTTGGGCCTTCTCTCTCCCCCTTCCTTCCTTCCTTCCTTCCTTCCTTCCTCCCTCCCTCCCTCTCTCCCCCTCTCTCTCTCTCTTCTGGAGATTAAACCCAGGGGTCCTCTACCACTGACCTACATCCCCAGCCCCCCCTTTTAAAAATTTTTGTTTTTTGAGACAGGACCTTGCTAAGTTGCTCAGGCTATACTCAAGCTTGTGATCCGCCTGCCTCAGCTTCCAGAGTGCTGGGATCACAGACCTGCACCGCCACAGCAAGCTTCTCCTATTTTATATCTTCAGTCCCTTTCATTCCCCATGATATGACCTTGTTAAACTCCCTGGGAAGCTCCTGTTTAGCCGTGGCCACATTAGCAAGTGGTTAGACTTATCACCACATTTGAGTCAGGCTTTCGGCATGGACTTCATTTTTTTTTTTTTTTTTTGGCTGTTTCCATATTTTTAAAGCATTTTTTCCCACTTTTACTTTCAACACTTCTTGTTTCTCCCCTTTCAGACTGCTGCTTGAGATTGCAGACTACTGCGGTAGCCATCTAATTTTCTGTCTTCTGATCGTCCAGCTCATTGTCAGTGTGTGGGGACGGAGCCCAGCTTACACTGTAAAGGTGCCAAGCAAATTATGTGTTCACATTTACCGGAACTGGGTGAAATTTGGGGTGTCTTGATAGAGAAGAAATTTCAGGGTAGGGATCTTACATTGTGTCCATATTCTTTTTGCATTTTGCGCTGGCCAAGGACAGAACATTTGGGGTAAAAGCACAAAATCCTTTTGGTGGGTCCCGGCTGCTCTCTCGAGTTCACCCAGACCCTCTGCTGTTATTCCAGGACCCAGAGCAGTGGAGTACACAGGCTGAGGGAGAAATAGGTGTTGAGACTGCTCTGCTCCTACCCCACCACTGCCTTCCTGCATTCTGGACTCTGTAGACCCCATGTCCTGTCGGGACAGGGCGGATGGGCTCAGGGAGATTCCTGGTTTAGATTAGGAGGATTTATCATGCCAGAGGTCAGTGTTTCCCTTGGCCTGGGCTCCCAGAGTCCTTCCTCCCCTGCTCAGCAGCTCTTTGCTAACTTAGCAGAAGTGCAGCTCTGCTTTCGGTCTTGAAGGGGGAGCCGAGGGGACGTCTTAGTCTTATCCCTAGGACCTGGAAACATCATGGCCGGGAGCCCGGAGCCTGCACGGAGAAATTCGACTCCTGTTTTTGTCCTGTTTCTAAGGCTCACCGAAAGGGAAGGACAAGGGGTCGGGGACAAGTTGCCTCCTCTCTGTCTCACCTATGAAAGGGATGTGATGGGAATTGCTGCCCTGCATACATCAGTGTCACGAGAGGTTGAGGACATAAGGACTGAGAGAGCACTTTGTCCACAGTGACCCTTAGTTGTCCAGCTTCTGTCTTAGCAAGGTTTGGGGGTTATGTGATTGCCAAAGGTCTCTGAGGAAGCAAGCAAAGGGCAGGCAATGAAACCTGAGGCCCCACTCCCCCCCCACCCCCACTTTTTTTAGTAACAGGGATTAAACTCAGGGCCTTTGCGTTGATCTACATCTTCAGCCTTTTATTTTTATTTTTTATTTTGAGGCAGGGTCTCACTAAGTCACTAAGTTGCTCAGGCTGACCTCAAATTTGAGATCTTCCTGCTTCAGCCTCCCAGGTCACTGGGATCACAGGCGTGTACTCTCACTCCAGACTTCTGATACTACACGTTTTGGGCTCTTGTTCGTGAACAGTGGCTTCCACCTCTCTTGGAATGCAGTGTACATCCCAGGCATGCCAGGGGCACCGCTCTGTAACAGACAAGTGTGGAGGTGGAGAGCTGTCCAACCAGCCGGGGAGGCACTTCGGGGTGGAAGTGACAGCTACGAATGTTCAGGACCTTGCAGAAGCCTCAGTGGAGGCTTTTATTTCAGGGCTGCTCACACTTTCCCACTTTCGTCGCCCACCACACGCATACTTTAAAAAGAATGCAAATTGGCCTTTCTACTCCATGCGATTCCTATTATTGTTTTAAAATAAAGTTTTATTTTAAGTTGTTGGACATGGAGTAAAGTGTACCAAGTTTTGTCAATTGCAAAAGCCCTGAGCACTCCTGGATCTGAGCATTTTAGCTGTCCCACCTTGGGGACTTGAGATGTGTGTTGTTTTTTAATTTCCTTTCTCACCAAAACCCCAGAATAATAATAATTATTAATGTCTATGGAGTATTACAGTGTCTCAAGCACACTGTGAATATATGACTAGCTCATTCAGTCCTTTTAGCAAATCCGTAAGTTAGGCACTGTTATTCTTCTGATTTTAGAGACAAGGAGGCTCAGAGAAGTTAGGTAACTCATCCGGTGTCACATAGCTGGTGTTGGCAGAGTTGGATTCTACCAGCTGGTTTTACCCCCAGGAAGGTAGAGTGAGATGCCACAGAATCCTTCTCCATCCCTCTTGCTTAAAAGAGAGTGACAGCTTCCAACAGTTGTGTGTGTCCGTATCTTCCTGGAGAAGGAGGACGAAGGGAAGGGGGAGTCATAGAAGCTAGAGCTGTGAAGGTCTTTAGAGACAGACAGCTCGCCCTCTTCACTCCCCAGATGCGGCTGTGGGGAGGACCAGAGAGGAACGGCTTTACTCCAGATCGCAGAGCAAGTCAGCAGGGTGGCCAGGAACGGCCCTGGGCTCTGAGTATGGATGGAGCAGATGACATCATATTTCTTTTACTGATTTCCTGCATCTTTGTCCATTCGTCATCTAAACGGAGCTTCCTCTCCTTTGTAGCACAGCTGCGCAGCCTGGCGGCTGTCTTTTGAAGGCCTTCCCAGAGAATAGCATAAGCACCTGGAGAGTGGAGATCACGTTGTTTTTGTCTCCAATTGCTGTCACAGTGCCGGTCTCACAGAAGTGGTCTAGTAAATATCTGTGGTCCAGAATGAACCTACTGTCCCAGAAATGAAGAAGAGAACCAAACCTGGTCATTGACCTAGTCCTGGAGTTTCTGGGATGTATTCATTCTTCTCCTAAATGTTTTGGCCCTAAAATAATCCTGTGCTACAGGGAGCACTGAAAAAAAGATGAGTTTAAGATAAAAAAGAAATTCCTGTCCCCTTACTGTACTGCCGCCAGCTTACAGCAACATGGGATTTCTCTGGCTTCTTACATCTCATTATGCAAATCAAGGAGCAGAAGGTGGAAGGCAGATTCTCAGAGGGAAATGACCTCAGCATTTATTAGGTGTCAGCCAAGTGCCCAAGGAGTTCAATTCAGATCCCTCTTTGGGGAGGCCCTGAAAATCCCTGATAACCTAAATTCTCTAAATCTTTTAGGCCTTGAGGGAGAGATGGAGGGTGAGAAGAAGGAAGCGATCTGATGTCCAAGTTACACATTTCCCATCAGGAGGCTGTCCTGGACAGAGACCTGGACCTGGGACTTGTTGGCATTCCATTAGAGAAGCTGAGTCAGGCTGGGGATGAAGCCCAGTGGTGTAGCACCCGCCCAGTAGGTTTGAGGTCCTGGGTTCGAGCCCTAGTACTACAAAAGAAAAAAAAAGCTGAACTGGGATTTAAGAGAACCAAATGACAAATGTGTAATTTAGGGGAGAGGGTGAGAGAGGTTGGATAGGATACCTTGGGATATGCATGCTAGAGGGTGCACATGGACTGTGTGTATATGGGGACACGTGGAGATACGTGACAAAGATATGGGGACAAGATGGAGAATCATGAGAGCTGAGCTGTCCCAGGGCATTTTTAACAGCATCTTCCAGTCTTTCCCTAACAACAATCCCACAATCCACTAACAGATCCTGCTGATTGGTCCATCATGCTGGTCTCTATAGGGTGGCTTCTTTCAGTCCTGGGGGCTTCCCACCCAGAGCAGGGCAGACCAGCCTCCAGGGAAAGTCAGAAAAAGGCTCCCAACTGGGCACGGAGCATAGGCTGGGTTCCTGGTCCCATCTGTCCTACTGCCGGGTCCAAGCATGGTGGGAAAAGACCAATCTGGGACCCGGCTGGCCCTAGGCTCCATGCGGGGTCTGGAGCTCAGTTTTCCCAGCTGTAAAGGTGAAATTGTATTCCATCTTCCTAGAGCCCCTTTCTGGATCAGGTGTCCCACCAGTTGGGGATTCTGACTTTGAATAGTCAGCAGGCAAGGTGTAGGTTGGGGGTCAAAGGGAAAGAGAAGATTCCGGGAAAATCCTAGCCAGCTGCTCACAGATATGTAGTCGTTTGGCCCGGAGAACTTTGTCTAAGAAGCGAAAGGCGTGTATCTTTTTAGTTTAACATTTCTGAGCCTCAGTTTCCACCTATGAGAAATGGGAGTGGTACTATCCCACAGGAGGACAAACCAACCACGTTAGTTGTCCAGGTGAAATGGCCAGGGACGGAAAATGTGCTCCACGAGGCATTTGCGGACCGAAGAGGGTTTGGTTGAGAAGATTTCAATTGTGTATGGGGTCCCTGGGTGCAAGGTCTGGAGCTGGGGTGGTCGCCTCCTCCGCCCCGGGCAGCCGAGGGTTAAAAAGAAAGCCCCACGCCCCCTCCGGCGGCTCAGAGCCCACCTCGCTGAATTTGAAAAGGCGGCCCCCGAGAGGCGTGGGCGCCCCGGGCCGCTTCCAGCTCCGACCCGGGCTCTGCGCGCTCGCTGCCCGGCTCGCTCCCTCCCTGCTGGCCGGGGCCGCGGGTTCGGTCCCGCCTCCCGTGCGCTCCAGATCGTCCTCGCGCCCGCTCAGGACGCCGGGTCCTCGCGCAAGATGAGGCTGGCTCTGCTCCTGCCTTGGGCGTGCTGCTGCCTCTGCGGGTCGGCGCTGGCCACCGGCTTTCTCTACCCCTTCCCGGCCGCGGCCCTCCCGCAGCACGGCTACCCCGAGCCCGGCGCCGGCTCCCCGGGCAGCGGCTACGCGAGCCGCCGGTGAGTGGCGGGGGACTCGGAGGCGCGGGGATCGGGGGCTGGGGCCGCGCGGTGCGCCCTCCCTCTAGGCTGCGGGCTCGGGTGGAGGTGGCTCCGACCAGCAGCTGGGGCGCGCGAGGGGGCGCACGGAGGGGTGCGCAGAGGGGGCGCGCGCGGCTCACTGGGCTCCGTGCTCAGCTCCCCAGGTCCCACGGCTCACTTGGTCCCTCCGCGCTCACCTGCAAGCCCGCGGCCTTGTGTCGCTGAGCAGTTCCCGGGTGGCCAAGATCCAGATCTCGTATCCAGATCCCCTATTGCTCCAGCCAGCGACCCTGGGGGACCATTCGGTCAGCGACCCTTTGGGGCCCAGGGCGCGGAGGAGCCTGGACTGCGACTCCCTGGCCACGCGGGATGTGGGACCATCTGTGATCCTCTGGCTTTGCTGTGGGTTCGGGGATCCGCCGGCCGTCTCCTCCAAAGCCGGCAGGTGGCGCCTTGGCCGCCCTGGGACGATCAGGGCCGCGTTTGAGTTCCCACTGGGGTAGCGGGGGTGGGGTGGGGGGTGGGGGTGGAGACGGTGCTAGAACTTCGCTTTTATTCATTTAATGATAACTACAACCCGCACGCCTGTACTCTAGCACTCTGGAACACCCAACTTGCACTGGTACATCTCCTCTTTTGATCCTCAAACCACCCTGGAGTCAAGATTTTAAAATACCGTCTTTCTTTTAACTGGGGAAACTGAGGGACCGAGAAAGTTCCCGAAGTACAGAGGCAGCTCAAGGCTAATCCCTATTTTCTTCCCCAAATCTGGTGCGTTCTGCCGCCTTACTCTGCTATGGAAGCCAAGAGTCAGGACCCATTTCTCTTTACCTCTTTGATATTTTACCAAGCCCGAGGCCCACCACGATGGAGTCTGGCAAGGCATTATATCCATTATATCGAGGGGACAGGAGTGTTTTGTGCTGGGAGCGCCAGACACTTCATGGCTGCAGAAGGTGGGGTCTTGGAAAAGCGTCATAGCGCCTTGGAAAAGTTTGCCTGCAATTCGATTTCCCTCCTTTTGTTTGGAAATACTTCCGGGAGACTTTGATTATAGAGTATTCAGCAGGCACCCACAAAAGTGTGGCTCTGCACACTTCATCTGAGAGCAGCCTTAAGCTTTCCAAAGTGTAGAATAGTACGGGTAGTATGATCCCTGTTATGGAAACTAAGCAAAGTGGATCTGCATCTAAGTAGATTAATGCTCAGAAGAAAGATTTTAGGGCCCCATTTTCAGAGTTCACTATGGGGAGGTCTCAGGAGTAGGGTTACCCTACCCCCCATCTGTGGGTTTGCATCCAAGGATTCCACCAACTTCAGATTGAAAATATTTGAAAAAAATTTGCATCTGTACTGAACATGTACAAACTTCGCGTCACTGTTCCCTAAGCATTACAGTTCCATAGACTTTACAATGCATTGGTATCCTAAATCATCTAGAGGTGATTGAAGTCTATGGGAGGGTGGTCTAGGTTCTCTGCAAAGCCCCTGCCATTTCATACCAGGGGCTTGAGCAGCAGGGTTGGTGGGAAGACTCTGAGGTCAGTCCCCTGTGGCTGCCGAGGGACGGTTGTAGCAGCTTTCTGTTCTGAGTCTTGTCCGCGTGTTTGACAAGAGCATACATTACTTTTGTAATTAATAAGCGTGAGAAGGGGGGAAAAGGCAGGCTGAGAGGAGCCAGAGGCGAAGGGGGTGAATAAGTGGGAACCTTGCTCTGTGCTCAGTGGGCTGCAAACACAAAATTTAGAAGGGATTATTTTAGAACTGGGCATGGTGGTACCCACCTGTTATCCCAGCGCGCTGGGAGGCTGAGGCAGGAGAATCACAAGTTTGAGCCCAGCCTGGGCAATTTAACAACTTAGCAAGACCCTGTCTCAAAATAAAAAAAGGGTTAGGGATGTAGCCCAGTGTAAAGGCCCAGGGTTCAATCCCCAGTACAAGAAAGGAGGAGGGGACAAAAAGCCCCTGACTGTTTAAAAGGCCATTTCCTGTAGAATCTTAAAACCTGCAATAGGGCCACTGGTGACTTTCGCCAGACAGAGTTGTTTAGATGCAAAACAGAAGCTGAGGGGAAACCAACATTAACTGGCTGGGAAGGCTGCCGTAAGGACTGAGCCCCCACCCTAACTGTCCTATTCTTCCCACCAGGACCAGTCCATTTGTGAGACACTCTCAAGTATGCAAATCCCTCTCTCCTGCAGATGTGTATGAGGGGCCTTGTGAATTATTTCCTCCCTCACCCTCAGCTCCAATCCAAAAGGGCCTGAGAACCAGAGAAAGGGTCCTGTACTCCATCCCTGTGAGCAGAGGCAGAAGTTTTAATGTGGAAAAATGATGGTTTTATATTAATTCTTGAAGTAGGCATGTTTCTGTAAGGGAAAGCAGAATTGCAGTGGAACATGGGGTCCAGACAGTGGGCAGTGGGCTCATGGGGCAGGGCACAAAGGAGAAAAATCACCTCTTCTCTGAGAAGTGATGCTTATTCCATAAACCAGTCACTCCGGTCGAGGGTCATGTGCCCGGGGGTAAATATCCACAGGTATCACCAAGGTAACAAATTGTTCATTTTCCAACCTAGATGTCTTCGTCTGTTTTCTGTTGCTATAACAAAATACCCAGGGCTGGGTACTTTATAAAGAAGCAAGGTTTATTTTGGCTTATGTATTTGGAGGTGGGAAGTGAGCTTGGACAGAGAAGCCAAAATGCAAGGGGTAACCTTGCTTTATTACAACCCGTCTCTGAGTAACTAAGCACATCCCTCCAGACCTAACCTTGAAAGACAGGCATTGACCCCTTCGTGAGTGTGGTGGCCCTATGACCTGAACACCTTTTAAAGCTCCCACTGCCTTTCAACACCAGTACCTTGGAGGCTGGGTCTCTGACATATGACAAAACAAATTCACACCAGAGCACTGGACAAATGTACCTTCACGATGACCTGGGAAGCAGGCTCAAGTGAGGGACCCTGCGATGCCTTGGGGTTCTGCTCTGGAAAAGGGCAACAGATGGGGAGGTAGTCCAGCCACCCCTAGCCTGGCTTATCTCTACACCCTGAGGGCGCCATCCACAGATTTATAGACCCCTTAACCTGCATACCCAGCTCAGTGTACACCCACCACAAAATGCCACCCTTGGCTAGGAGTGGACACCCTGTCCTTGGAGGATGGCCTGTGACAAGTGCCCCCAGAAATGGACTCTGAGTCAGGGAACATGAGCCCAAGTGCGAGGTCTAGAAGGAGGCAGGGGTTTGGGTGGGAATATTGCCTTGGCCTCATGGATTTTGACACCAAAGGCCGACCACAGTTACAGGAGGGCAGGGCAGGTCCTCCACAGTGCCCAGTCCAGGTCAAGGACCCAGTGCCAGCTTCCACGGGCCTCCACGATGGGGTAGAGGGAGCCTTACTGGCTGTAGCCCAAGTTTATCATGCAGACCTGCACAGGTACTTTAACCTCTTGGAGCCTTTTTGGGTCTGGTAATTCTATACTGTGGAGACCAGGATGCCGGGAATGAGAAATGAGGAGCGGAAAGAGATGCACAGATGCTGGATCTGCAAAATATAGATCTGACTTCATTCCTTTCTGTGTGCCTGCCACCAGCTGGAGAGTCTGAGGTGCTTAGCCAAGTGCCTGGCCCTTCTCCAGCTGGGACCATCCCCTCTGACCCCCTTTACTCCCGCTGCCTCTTACCTCCAGCGAAGCTCACCCTCTTCTCCTGTGGGACATCCCGGTGCACAGAGTGCCCTCCCCGCAGCTCACACCTTCAAGGACTCCATGACAGGGGATTGGGAGAGACGGGTCACAGGGTGGCTTTTCAGAAATGATGATCCAGGAGTGGGCAGGGAGGCCCTCAGGGCTACTCCTGGGATGTGTTTCTGCCAGTGCAGAAGCACAGCTACATCCTGGCCTGGCGCAGAATTTGGATCCTTTGCAGGACATTTTAAGCAGCGGTGGAATTCAGAACCACAACTGTATTTTGCTTTCCATTTGGAAATTCTGGTGAGTTAGTTCTCGAAGAGGTCTGATCCTTGTTAGGATGATGACTCCACTGGGTCCCAACTCTGCCTCCTGGCTCCCCCTTCACTCTTCCCTCCTCCCCCTTTCTGTCTGCCTCTCTGTCTCCCCCTTTCCTTCCTGTCTCCCAGGGAGGACTGGCTTTGGGGTCATCTGACCAGGGCCCCTCACTTGGACCTTGATGCTTTCAGTTTCTCAACATGCTTGTTTTTAACTTTGAGATGTGAGATTTAATGGGACAACGGAGCCTCTGTCCTCGTGGTGTTCTGTGTCCTGCAACCTCCTGGTCTCCCCAGGATGGGTTCCAAGCCTTTCCCCACGCTGTGTCACCCAGGTCCACTTTGCCTCTCCCTCTTCACCTCCATAGCCACCTCCTGCTTTGCCTGGGGCCTGGGCCAGGGCTCTGGGAGAGTAGAGGTGGCACATGAGTACCCCATGGCATTGTGGCTGGTCCCTGTCCCAGGATGGCAGTGGCAGAGCATGTTCAGAGGGCACCTCGGCCCCGGGAAGAAGCCCCTTGCCCTCTGCATTGAGTGTACCCAGAGCAGGTGCAATGCCCTTGGGGCTACACTTGATCTTAACCAAAAGGCCAAGAAGCGATGCCCTTGGGGCTGTCTGTCCATCACAGGAAGGCAGCCCTCAGGGAGAGGGGGACCGGCTTGACCTCCCTCCTGTGGTCCAGGCACTGAGCACCAGGGACCCCGGCAGGCTGCACATGCATGGGAGTGCACACCTGGAGTGAGGAAGCTTTGCATTTTCCTCAGAAAAGCTTTGTATTTTCCTCAGAAAAACTTTGTATTTTCAGAGCGAAGATGCCTCATGTTTTCCTTTTGCATGGGCTCCACATTTATTTAGCCAGGTCTTTGCTTTCAGCTCAAGGGGGATCCAGACCTATCCATGACCTTTGTTTTGGTACTGGAGATTGAACCCAGAGGATTTACACTTAGCTACATCCTCAGCCATCTATCTATCTATCTATCTATCTATCTATCTATCTATCTATCTATATCTATATCTATCTATCTAGCTACATTTTGAGACAAGATCTCACTAAATCACTAAGTTGCCCAAGCTGGGCTCCAACTTGCAATCCTCCTGCCTCAGCCTCCCCGAGTGCTAGGGTTACAGGTGTGTGCCATCATGAAATCTGTGAATAAATCTGTATTTTAGTGACTTCCCTAGTGGTGTGTTTTGTTTTGTTTTGTTTGTGTGTGCAACCAAATTTGAGAAACACTGTGTCAAGAACAGGCCTTCTTTGGATTTCTTTCTTTCTTTTTTTTTTTTGGTACCAGGGATCGAACTGGGGTCCTTGCGCTTGCAAGGCAGACAGTGGAACCACTGAGCTAAATCCCCAGTAAGTTAGATTTCTTTCATCATGGCTCAAAATTAAGAAATAGTTTTT